CCAAAAAAAAAAAAAAAATCTTTAACTCTGAGTTTTTACAATTTTTTTTAAAAAATAACTCTATTAATCCTATATAGACTTGAACCCTACCTTTTCTTTTTGACTCAGAGAGAGTAGTAAATTAGATGTTATGAGAAAATAAATAATGTGAAATGTTGTTCAATTATAAGATCAACCGGGATCTCTTATCCTTAATTATAGGTTTCAGGTTTGAGTTTAGACGATATTATTAATATACCTCCAAATTTAAAAATATAAGATTGTCAAATTTTGAAGGAAAGCTTTGACCAGATGATTCTCCATAGTTCTTAAGTTAAATAAAAAGCAGTAACAAATTAACAAATTAAAACAATTAATGTCCGCCACGTGTGGAAGGTCTACTAACCGGTAGGCAACATTACACAAGAAGGAATCCTGTTAGGGGCAGAAATCCGGGTTGTAATGAAATGAATATGATATTTTCCCTCTTAATCAAATATTTTAATTTTGAGCTCTGAAAATAAAAAAGTATAATATGAAGCGTTTTTTCCTGCAATGATCTTTACGCGCGCATCCAAATTAATTATAATTTCAATAGAGCAATTGTAAAGTTGTCTTCGCGTAACATATGGATCATGCGTATCGTGGAATCAACCATTGTTAATTGCATCAAGATAGTCTGTCTACGTCACGCCCTTTTAGGTGTGACCCTTCCCCGGACCTTCCATAAATGTGAGATGCTTCGTGCATCCCTATTGCTCTTTTTTTTTTTTTTTTTAAATTTGAATACCAAACATTGGATGAAAAGAAAAAAAAATATTAGGCAAGAAAAAATTCTTAATATTGTAAAATAAAGTTATAAATATTAGGGCATATAATTTAAATCCTTTAATCTATACAACTTACCTTTTCTTTCTCTCGCAACTCGCAGGTACACTAGAGACAGTTGCACTTTAAAAATATCTAAACATTAAGTTACCTTTTAAGTTTGTTTATTTTTATCTTATTGTTTTAGTAGACTCTAAAACAATAGCCTACTAAAACAAAAGTGACGAAAGTTAGTTTCTTTCAGGGGCGGAGGTAAGCTTTAATGTATGAGTTCGACGGTATTTAATAGCTTTAATTGAAATCTTATATATATATATATAATAAATTAAATTCTTAAATTCAGAATATAATTATTAAAATAAATTATTATCCGAAAATTCAAATCCCATAAAGTTAATCTTGTTCCCCTATTGGTTCTTAAGATTTGTGTCAAAGTTGGAGCCATTGTTGTGTAGATGTGGATGGCAATTGTTTATAACTTGTAAGTACATTTTCAAGTAACGAGGCACAGACCTTAAATTAAAAAAATCTACGATTTGTCGTATTTGTAATTCAATTTAAGACTAAAAGTCAGCTCTTCTATATTTCCAAACTCATGTTTTCTACCCATCAAATTGGGCAAAACTAAACTTCATAACTTGACAATCTTGTGATTTTTTTTTAATTTTGCAGGTATATTAATAACGTATTGTCTGATGTGAGATTAGTTTAATTATTTACTTTGCCTACTTCAGAGTTGACTTGCAATTCACAGTACTAGGGAAGCTACACCCATTGCTATATTATTTTATTTAATTGGTATCTGTCACATTTTGGTTAGACTAAGTCAAATTTATACAGTGAAAGACTCGCTATTGGAGTAGGTTTTTTCGTGCTCCCGGGGCGGAGCCACAATGATATTTGCGGGTTCGGTCGAACACAATAACTTTTGTTCAAACTCTGTATTTGTTTTAAGAAATTTAATGAATATGTACAAAATATTAATTTAGAACGTAGTAACTTAAAATGATTATAATCTTGAACCCATAAGGTTCAAATCCTAGCTACGATTCTGCTGCCAAGGATAAAGTTTATAAATAGTCATTTTTCAATCCGATAATTAAAAAAAAATCATAAGTGAACTTCAGGACATTGCCACAGTGGTTAAATTATATTGTGGAATTTGAAAGTTGAAACTAAACGTGCCTAATCCGCATTATTACTACCTCTACCAAAGGTACTCTAATCAATTCCTAAAGTTTAAATCTGAAACCTCTAATTAAATATAAATGACAAAACGTTTATTCTATTACACCTTGTGCTACTTACTGTATATTTTCTTTTAACACGTCCAATTTACTACTCTTTTCGAGTTTGTAAAAAAAAAAGACAAATTCAAGATAACAAAGGATTAATATAGTTTATTTTTGTAAAAACTCGAGTTAACGAAAAATTGTTTTCTTGAGATAAGAGGAAAACTTCTTTCTCGCAACTGTCAAGTAGACAAAGCACGTTTATTAATTAATTATTATACATAAAATTCGCACGTCTATTACGCAACGTTGAACTTTGTACATATCTCTATCTAATTGCTGACTGAGCACAAAAAAGAAGATTTCTATGAAGCTTCCTTTACATCTCAAGTTGCAAGCGGCAACTGATCAATACAAAAATATCAGATTTAGCTGGCATAAATGAGAAAATATTTAACTCTATATAGAAATTTTACGCTAATGATGTATAAAATTTTTGTACTATAGTTAAACCTCTCAATAACAGCATCGCTATATAACTTCCATTCATTATAAAAAAACTAGTTTTTTATGGAACCAATTTTTATGTCATGTTATAATATACGTTCTCTGTAACAGTTCTTCGCTATAATAATCAAAATAATTCGGAACAAATGAGATTGTTATAGAGATATTTGACATTAGAAAAAAATTGAAAATTGCAAAGAAATAAAATTAATGCCAAAGCTAAAGGGGTCACGTGAAGGCCTTTAATTTCTACCTCAAAAGAAGATGGTAATTTTTTGTTTTTTGAATTAAATACGATCATTGACATGAATAAGATATTAGTACTAACTACCGACAACTCTTTTCAACTCTATATAGAGCTTCCCTAGGATCCTAGACACTTCACTGAACTACAACCATTCCTCAATTCCAAATCTAGAAAGCAAAATATGGCCAACTTTAGTCTTCATCACTTCTTAATACTTTTCTTGTTTTTCCATTGTATTTTTGTCAAAGTCGTTACTGAGTCTGTCACGTCCCAAAATCCCGCAGCCACAAACTTCATTAAAACCTCATGCAAAAATACTTTATACCCTACCGTATGTATCCAATCTCTCTCTGCCTACGCAAATACCATTCTACTAAATGAGCAACAACTCGCTCAAGCAGCATTATCTATTAGTTTTAAAAAAGCCAAACTTGCTGCCGATTTTATTTCCAAAATTACAAAAATAAGGGGATTAAAGCCAAGAGAATTTCAAGCTGCTAAAGATTGTTTATCCACCATGAATGATAGTGTTTATCAGCTTAATCGATCGATACCCGAGCTTAGCCAAAGCGGACAATTAGCAGCAGGACAAGATTTTACTTGGCATGTTAGTAATGTTCAAACATGGATTAGTGCTGCACTTACTGATGAAAATGCTTGTCTTGATATGTTTAATAATCCTTCTATGGATGGAAAAATTAAGGCTTTGGTTAGGGCTAGAGTCTTTGCTGCTGCACAAGTTACTAGTAATGCACTTGCTTTGGTTTATCACTTTGCAGAGAGACACTAATTACTATTAGTTATGTTGCGCGGACTCTTCAAAATGTTGTTTTATATATCTATGCTGGATTCTTCAGAAATGCACTATTTTTGGAGGACCCGACACGTATCTACCGATATTTTTGGAGAATCTGAGCAACGTAACGTAGTTACATGGTATCAAGTTGTATAAGTCCAAGCCTTGCAGTTTACTATAGCTAGTTTTGTGATGTAAATGTTATAATTACTAGTACTATATCTTTCTTTACACTGCTTTGCAGTTCATGTTGTAACAAAACTTTAGTTGAAATTAACCATCATCTTGCTAGCTAGTTTTGTTATCTAATCGTGGACGAATTTGGATTTGAAACGAGTATGATTTTATTATATATATATATATATATATATATATATATTTTAATTTTTTCGTGTATATAAACATAAAGTTCTAAATTATAGATTCATGAACCGATAGATTCTACACTAAATTCGCCTCTTTTGTATAATGTTGCCTGCTGGCTACTAGGTGGGCTTCAGCATGATAATATATTGTTTTTCAACTCGTTGGCATATGTACATATGAGGAAACGAGGCAGAGCCACACAGACCCCTATTGAAAATATCTCTAATTGTTTATCGCCTATCATCTTTAATTAGAGATTTTGGATTCGAGCCGGCTTAGAGATTTTTTTTTTTTTGATAGGGAACATTTTCTCCTTAAAGAGCATTACACGATATGAATCCGAATTAATCGGGACCCTAAAGCAAGTACCCGACATTGTTGAGCTTGTTAACCCTTAGCTAGTTGAGCTTCGGTCGTTGGTATTGGTTTCGAGTTCAAGTTCTCGGTACCAAGTGCTTGAATTTTACATTGTTAGATTAGATCTACAACATTAGGCATATCAAGATTATAGTAAGCTGAAAAATAATATGTAACCTGTTATAATCGGTTAAATTACACTAATATTACAAATTCTTCAATTTTTTTTTGTTGGTAAATAGTGATTTCTATTCATTCCAAAAAATATCTGTACAAAACAAGCAGATGCTGACCATCCGCACTCCTAATTACATCAATGCATGTAGTGTAAGTACGCGATCTAAGTACCCCAACTAAGTGTCTAAAAAGATCAAAAACAAAATACATTTGCATCGTAGCCTAAGGATAAGAATTTAGTTGCTTAAGTGCTCCTTGCCAGTTCTGTATTGACCTTCCTCTAGTGTGTATATGTATTGTAATTTCTCTGCAGATGTTATCTTTTGTTACCATCCCTCAATGGAATCTGAGCTTGTTCATGTCCCTCCATATGGTATAGATCAACATGCCAAACACACAAGTAACTATTGCCCAATGCCCAGTTTTCCTTTTAGCACCTTGATTGATCCGATTTACTTCATCTTGCTAGTCTAGAATAGGTCTATTATGGCCCAAACAGATCAGCAATTTAGACCATATTTCCTTGGCTGTGGGGTACTCAAAGAATAAGTGCTCAAACAATTCGTGAACTTGCTTACAAAATACACATTGCTGAGGTACTTGAATACCAAACTTTACAAGCCTGTCCACTGTAGCCAATCTTCTCTGTAGTGCTAACTACAATATAAATTTAAATTGAGGGTGTAGATTGAATTGCAGGATAATACACTTCTAAGGCATACATTGAAACTGGGGGAATTGCATCTAATAGAGCTTTTTGATGTTAAAGGCTTCTTCATATTGTAATTGGCATAACCTGCTGTTAAGGTCTCCCTGAATGCCTTGAAGTTCTCCAATGAATCTTCTTGTCTCAAGGATTTTCCTAACTATCCAAGCTGCATTCTTAGGTATTGGAATGTTCTCCAATGTGTATTGCTTTATATAGAAGGTATGAATCCATCTAATCCATAGGCAGTCTTTCTTCTTTGCCACTGCCCATATATGCTTTGCCACAACTGCCTTATTCCAGTAGATCATGTTCATCACATTGAGCCCCCCTGCTGCTTGTGGTAGACATACTTTCTCCCATACAACTAGTGCCTTTTTGGAGACATTAGATGTTCATGTCCATAAAAATGTTCTACATATAGCTTCAACCATTTTCAGCATCTTTTTAGGTAATAGAAAAACATGTGCCTAGTAAGATTGGACCCCAAATAATACTGACTTGATCAATTGTATTCGTCCTGCATATGAGAGCAATTTTGAGGTCCGGCAGTTAATCCTTTGTGTGATCTTCTCCACTAAAGGCCAACACCGAATGCCTGATAGCTTTTTAGATGCCAGAGGGACTCCCAGATATCTGAAAGATAGAGTACCTTCAAAGTAATCCCATTCTTGTAGTATGTCCTGTTTTAGATTGTTTGAAATGCCAGCTAAGTAAATAGAGCCTTTGTCTGCATTTGCTTGGAGGCCAGAAGCATTAGAAAACTTCAGGAATGTCTGCTGCAACAATCTAATGGAATTTATATCAGCTTTACAGAACATAAGGAAGTCATCAACAAAGCAAACATGTACCACTCCTAGCTTTTTGCACTCGGGGTGAAATATGAATGCTTTGTTCTTTTTCAATTGTGCAAACTCCCTCTGTAGGTACTCCATGGCCAGTACAAATAGATAAGGAGACATGGGGTCACCCTGTCTGATACCCCTCCTTCCTTTGAAAGTTGTTGTCAATCCCACATTCATGGTGAGAGAGTAAGTCATTGTTGTGATGCATTCCATGATCCATCTGACAAATTTGTGAGGAAATCCAAGCTTTATCATCATTCTCTCCAGAAAATACCAATCGAGAGTATCATATGCTTTCCTCAAATCCACCTTCAATACACATCTTGGTGAAATTCCTTTCCTATTGTAACCTTTAAACAGTTCATGTGTGAAAAGGATATTGTCAGTGATGCTTCTACCTTCAATAAATGCTGATTGTGATTCACCAATGAGTCCACCTATGACTTTTTTTTAATTCTAGCTGTAAGAACCTTGGTGATAATCTTATACAAAGTTGTGCAACAGGCAATGGGCCTGGAATCTTTGACATAGCTTGGGTTTTGTACTTTAGGAATTAAGGTCACAACAGTACAGTTTATTCCTCTGTGCATTGTTCCAGTAGTAAAGAAATGTCTTGTGGCATCACAAACATCTTTACCAACCTCCTGTCGGTGCTTAGTCAAGAATTCAATAGGAAATCCGTCCACCCTTAAAGCCTTATCATTGGGTGGACGGATTTCCTATTGAATTCAAAATATTATTGTATATAACTTAAATCCCTTTTTTTCTACATCCAATTTATTTTTCTTTCTTACAACTTGCAATTACAATAGAAACACGTTGTCCAAAGAAAAGTTTAAGACATCTATTAAGCTACCTTAAAGTTTGTTCATTCCTATCTAATATTGTTGATAAGGTTGAGCATGGAAAGAAAAATATGAATAAGTTAAAACCATATATAATGTCTAAAGCTTGAAAGTTGCAAAGAAATTAAAGCCCCTTTAGTGAATTGAGATGAAAATATATATTAATTTATTATGGCTAAGTGATAAAAGTGTATGTAGAAAATATATATCATGTATTTTATCGGATGTAGACAAAACAATTCAAGAATAAGCTTATTTATACCCCTGATATTTACGCCAAACCAGATTAATTATATACTATAGTTAAATGATAAGAGTATATATCAGTTAATCATAATTAAATAAAAGAGCGATTGCGAAAAACAATCATCATACATTCATACGATGTTTAGTATTTTTCGTATGAAGTAGAGTCAGTATTGGGATCTTTGAGCCTAAGGATTAGGCACAATAGGCAGTATGTGCGAGCACCTAATTTTTGATTATATTTTAATTTTTATCACATTCTAGTATGTAAATATTTTTAGAAATTTAATATATATTTTTTTAGCTTTGTTACACTTTTTTTATATAGGGTAAAAATTAAAAATAATTTAAAAATGTCAATTATTACTATTAGTATTATTTTTATTTTTTATCTTTATTTTAAAATAAAATAAATTTAAAAACCAAAAAATTTAATTTCTTTTTTAAATTTTCGGATGGGAATAAAATAATAGGAAAATTAAAAATATGAAATTAAAAAGTAAAAGTAAAAGTAAGTGAAAATTATATAATAAAAAAGTAAAAGAAAGTGAAAAATTAAAAAAAAATAAAAGTAAAAGAATGTGGAAATTTAAAAAATGAAAAGTAAAAGAAAGTTGGAATTAAAAAATAAAGTAAAGGTAGCTAAATTTTTTAAAAAAAAAATTAAAATAAAGTGGAAATTTAAAAAAAGAAAAGTAAAATAAGTGGAAAATAAAAAAATAAAAATGAAAATTTAAATATAATAAAAGTAAAAAATGAAAAATTAAAAAATAAAAGTAAAGGAAAGTGGGGAATTATTTGTTTTTAAAAAAGAAGAAAAATGGGAAGTGGGAATTCTTTTTAATTAAAAATAATAATAAAATAAAAATATTAAAAAGAAATCTTAAAAATTCCGAAATTTTTTCTATAAATAGGAGAGAAAGGAAAAAAGAAAGAGGGAGGAGAAAGAGAAAAAAAGAAGGGAGGAGAGAATTGAGAGAAATTGTTTTTCTTCTTCTACGCTAAGTGAATTTCTACTCGTGTCGTTCTTTCTACGTCTTTCTTTCAACAAATCCAGCAAGTCATCACCCAAAACCCAACAAAAAATACTTCAAAACATCCATTTTCACACGCCAAACAATGGAGTCAATAGGCGAGGTCGAGAATTCCATTGGAGCTCCGTTCACTAGCTTTGATGTTCTTCTTCGCTTATGCTTGTTCGGCGTTCGTCTGAGTTATTATACCTGTTCTTGAAGACTCATTTAATTGAAAATTTTGCATTAAAGATTTATTCTTTCCTCTGTTCTTTTTATCTTATTTCATGTGATTTTATTTATTTGCCTTTAAATTTTATAAATAATAATGTAAATTAGTCCTTAAAAGTTATATGCTTAATTATGTTTATAGAAATATGGTATTCAAGCTTGCTTTAAAGTTGGGAAGATTTGGACCCTAATAAGTTTGGGCTTCAATTGTTGGGCTATAAGGTATTGGTATATGATAGTTTATTTATTCAAATATCTAAAATCATACACTTCTTCTACAAATAATTCCATAATTCATGATCTCACAATAATCTCAAAGTTTAGGAAAAATAATGAACATCGTTAAAGTGCTTTAGGCACACTTTTAATTAGTTTATTATATATACCTTCGCGTGGCATAATTATGATTTTCAAAATTAAAACCGAAGTATGTGTTCGCGCAACTTTGGTCAAAATAATCTTAATATAATAAAATATTAATAATTGTGTACACGTACGTGTGACATGATTTTGGCACAATAAA